CTTGTCGCTGCTTAGTTCTTTCCCCCTGTGGTTCTCGCCCCAAGGCATTACTCCCTCATGCGGCCTAATCCCTTACCTCGTCTCACTTCGGATTTCTCTGTTGAGCACAGTTCGTCCACATTCGGTCTCTCGAGTGATGGGAAGTTATTCGGGACTCACCAGTCCCGACAACGGCTGCTACAAAAATGGTGGAGGTGTCGGGTATGGGTTAAACTGACCCATACGATCTCGAGGGGGGCGTCCGACGCATTAACGCGAACACAACATTAAGATAAGGAACAAGGTCTTGTGTATGCTCCATTCCCTTGAGAGAATCAGATTTGAGGGCGGCTGGGCGCATGGCAAGGCCAGGCCTAGAGGAATAACATGCATGCTGCACACTTGCTCAACCACCTCGTGGGAGGTGACTCTAGTCCTCCTTTCGGGCTGATGTTTTTTCGTCAGTCCGAGGAAGCTTTAAGCAAGCCGCAGGTCGACCCTTCCTCTTCGTGTGAAAAAACGGCTCCGGTTACCTGGTAGGCGGTTCGAATTTCGGGCTAGAACGGGTTCCAATGAAAATCCCGCGGCGGAGCGATCCGATCGACATGGGTGCCTTCTTCTCTCTTCTTCGGAGCCCGGCGGGTTCCTTGCACTACACTTGAAATGCTTGAAGGAACCTCATATGAACAAAACGGGTAATTGAGAAGGAACAATCTTGCCCTATGAACGGACAAACAAAGGAAGACAAGGGAATGAAGGGAGTTGCTAGACTCCAAGGAAAAGTAGCTCACCCTTGAAGATGCTCACGAGAAGGAACCAACCACTGTGTATGGAAATTAGGGGTGAGTGGCACTCACAGTCCTGAGAGAAAAGTCGTAAGCTATGGGTAGGAAGCGTTGGGTGCACCAAGGGAAAGGGACTTGTATTATGTGTGTCCCACTTGGGACTTGTGATTGCTTGAAAGGGGGATTGAGCGTCCTGCCATTTCGGAAGGAAAGGATGGGTCTGCGCCGGTCGGTGCAGGGTGCGAAACGTCGCTCTCTATTTGTAGGCCGCCGTGTGTTCGTGTGTGGAGGTCAGGCCACCGAGCTGTCGGACGGGAGTTTGTCACGCCGGTTGATTAGCAACATTCATGTCCGAGCGGTGACGGGCTTGGCTCGATGATCTGTCGGACGAGGTGCGAAACGTCACCTCAGGCGGGGCTTAGCCTGTTGACTGGCGGGGGGAGTACCACTACATATGGACAAAGACAGAGCCTCGGAGACGATTAGTAGCTTCTCGTAGCATCGTTTGGGAAAGGCTGATTCTTATCGGACCGATGGATGTGAATGCCCGGACGACCGATTTTTGTCCCCACCGAGTATGCGGGGTAATTCCTGGTGCCAACGGGGGTGTACAAGAGCGGCAAGACGGGATGGGGTTCTGGGCAAGAAGGTGAGGGTGTCCCCCCACTGGAGTCTGGGTACCGCGCTCGCGACGGTTGAGTTGTGCTTGAGGTACGGGATAAAACTCTGCCGATAGTAACAGTGGAGAGACCACTCTTGGGGAAAAGGCCGGTGAGGAGATGACCGGCCTGCGTGCGAGGATTGCCTGGATATTTTTTTCTTTTGTGGCCCCCTCTGTAAAGTTGCTTGAGATTGTTGAGATGGGACCAAGCTTTCTAAGTCTATTCCCGCCCCATTCTAAGTCTGCACAAGTGAGAGAAGATGGAAATGAGCCAGGATAGGAGTCGAAAAGAAATGGAACCAAGAGAAGGAACGCCAACTGGGGATGCCAATCGTGAGTACAATGGGGACGATGGTGCTCGGGAAATGGGCCGGGAAAATTAGGGAGACCTGGATGAGGGGTTTGAAATAATGCTCATCTAGAGTTAAGGGGGGACTAGCCTGACCAGAAGGGCCGTGTGGTGCTCTCTCCTGAAAGCAGGGACTGGGACCGGGAAAAACGAGATGGCGAGGTGGTTGTCGTCTCCAGTCTACTCTAGTGGTCCGGAGATGCCAATAGATGTAAGGGGCGGGGTATCCGTCGTCCTCCCAGAAGAAGGAACGTAGAACCTGGAACCAGCATATCAAACTGTGATGCTGGACGAAAAGGACGCGTTCCTCTGGATAGAGACGATATGGGCCAAGGTCAGCCTGACGAGACTGTTGCTGAGCTTGATGGACTTGGAATTCCGGGGGACGGTGGAAGCCGGGGGGTGGGTCTACTTGGCCTAGGAAAGGGAAAATGCAATGGTAATAGAATTAGTATTGGGGACGGCACCGGACTCATTGTTTAGACAAGCAGAACGAGAAGTGGTATGGGCAGCGTGTCAGCGGGCGGAAATGGAAATGGACAAAGTGGAGGTGCGAGTGGAGCTCGAGGATAGAGGAAATGTGAGACGACCTCTTAGGGCGATGAGATGCGTGTTACCCCCATTTCTAGTGGATGCGGTCTTCGGGACCAGGGGCAGGTTGGAACAAATATGTCATTCAATGACGAACTTGAGGCTGTACCAGTGCGCCCGGCAGGACTTCTTTAGACTGTCGGTAGAAATGGGGCCGTCCGGAGGGAACTGGGCGGAGGAATTAGCAGATATATTGAACCTCCTTAGCGCGGATGACGTCTTTGTCCCTAGCCCAGTGCACTGGCGGATAATTTATCGGAATGTGGTTGTAGGAGAGACCTTACTAGAAGGACTGAAGGACTTGTTCTTTGACGAGGCGGATGATTTCAGTGATGACGGGGACGATGACGAGGTAGAGGATTGGGACTTCTGAGGGGGGGACTTACCCGGGGAAATGGGTGGTCGGCAATGTGCAGGTAGGGAACAATGGCCTGAGATCTCCAGCTAAGAGACTGCACATTCAAAGGAAGGGAGCCAAGACGAGTCGAAGGGGGAATAAAAATGTCCATACCAACGGATAGAGAGTGGAGAGGGACCACGTGTGACTGGGTAGGACTTGAAATTGTACCAGAACTGTCATATGTATGGATAGAACGTGTCTGGAATCCGCTAAGGGAAGAGGAAGGATGGGAGGAGATCACGGAAGGAAGGGTGGAATCGGTCGGGACGATCGTCCTCTCCGAGCAGGGGTGACACTTGCTTTGTACGACACTCGCGGCGGGGCAGAACCCGATGTGGCTCCTAGGGGAACGCTGAGGCAAGGGCTCGACAGGCAAGTGAGAAGTTTGCCAGCAAAGGGTGGGATGTGGTCCGTAGTAAGGTTGTGATGGGAGGGTGGAAGGAGTTTAGGCCTCCCTGTCTACAAACCAACACTTGGGTACCCGAGTTCGTGGCAGACTGGTTTGGGGGCTTTGATCACGTCGCGGAAGTGGCCAGCACTATGGAGCGGATACATGTGAATTGTGCATGGCTGACGGAAGAGTTCTATAAAACATCGCTGAAATTTGGGCCCTTCCACGGCGACAGAGCCTAACAGGCCCTCGTCATTTTGAATATAGACAGGAACGACAGGCTAGAGGTGGCCCCAGAGATTAGAGAAGCAATAATTCGCCGCGAAGTAGTCGCCACGCCTTGCTATGTAGATGATGTGTTCAAACTATTCGAAGTACTGTGGGAAAACCGCAGGGCCAGCCGAGTGTGGTAAGTTACTAAGATAAGGGGATGGGATGTCTGGCCATTGTAGGGTTCATTGCGGATTGCAGAGTAAAGAAAAACCGAAGACGTTCCTTGAAGACCGCCCGTTGGGCATCGAACCGCCAAGGGAAGTAACTGGCGGAGTAGAGATCAGTCTGCCTGCCACGAGCGAAGGCTGGCGCCCGGTGGTGGACTGGGTCGGGGTCGAACTCATGGAAAACACAGTTTACTTGGTGACAAGGGTTGAATGGCGCGCGGATGAAAACGACGAGTGGAACCCGGACCCACGGGGACATGTGCGCGCAGAAGGGTGGTTGTATATGTCGAAAGATGGATGGCGCGCGTTCGGAGTCCTGTAAGCCTGTTTGAGGGGGCATGGCAGCTAGTGTGGCAAGCGGGGTTCGAGTTCGCTGACCCAAAGTTCGATGATGCAACAACAAACCTTAGGGTAGCTATAGCTGGGAGATTAAACCTGCCTAGTGAGAACGTCCGGATGAGGTTGCCGCCCTTCTTACTAGAACAACTAGGCGGACTGGAGCTTGCCAGGCGGGCAGTGGCCGACCTCGCCTACCTGACGTTTGAGGAAGCGATGGTCCAACGGGAATATTACCGGGCCTTCTTGGAAATGGGACCATTCAGCGGTGAACAGAGGTATGAGGTATTGCGAATCTTGCGCGCCGTATTTACCACCAGGCCTAGAGCTCCGGTTGTTAGCGACGAGGTTCTATGGGGCGTTGTTCGACGAGAGATAAACCGGGGAATAGCTATGGCTGGGAGATTCAACCTGCCTAGTGAGAACGTCCGGATGAGGTTGCCGCCCTTCTTACTAGAACAGCAAGGCGGACTGGAGCTTGCCAGGCGGGCAGTGGCCGACCTCGCCTACCTGACGTTTGAGGACCGACCTCGCATACCTAACTGGAGCTTGCCAGGCGGGCAGTGGCCGACCATTCAGCGGTGAACAGAGGTATGAGGTAGTGCGAATCTTGCGCGCCGTATTTACCACCAGGCCTAGAGCTCCGATTGTTAGCGACGAGGTTCTATGGGGCATTGTTCGACGAGAGATAAACTGGGCAATAGCTATGGCTGGGAGATTCAACCTGCCTAGTGAGAACCTCCGGGTGAGGTTGCCGCCCTTCTTACTAGAATAGCTAGGCGGGTTGGAGCTTGCCAGGCGGGCAGTGGCCGACCTCGCCTACCTGACGTCTAAGGAAGCGATGGTCCACCGGGAATATTACCGGGCCTTCCTCGAAATGGGACCATTCAGCGGTGAACAAAGGTATGAGGTACTACGAATCTTGCGCGCCGTATTTACCACCAGGCCTAGAGCTCCGGTTGTTAGCGACGAGGTTCTATAGGGCGTTGTTCGACGAGAGATAAACCAGGGAATGACTTACGTAGATGACCTGTACCGCCTGTATGAGCCGACGGAAGTAGGGACGGGTCGATAAAAGAGACAAGAAAAGAGAGGGGAATAAAAAAAGGGAAAGGATATCGATTTAAGGACCGGGGAGTTGCCCAGGTGAGGGTCGAAGAACCGATGAAATAAGTAAAGCTCGCTTGCTGTTTAAATTGTGCAGGGGACCGCTAATCAACAATGGCGATAAGACGCGCCCGGATGTCGCGACGGCCCACACACCCTCGGCCACCCACGGAAAGTGGAGACGAATGGGAGGTATCGCTCCCGGCAAGCTACATGGTCCGAGGGATTGACACCGAATGGAGAGTTGTGACCTTGGGAAGGGACCAGGCGTTTATGATGGTAGAATGTTTGTGGAACGGTATGAGGTTTAATAGGGGGCCAGAGGACGACCTGTACACCGACCTGAAAGTGACAGGAACCGTATACCTGCCGGAGATTGGATGGCACATGCTAGGAACGGAGTTGGCACTAGGGCATGGGCTGTTACCGATCTTCCAAAGGGCTACTAGGATAGTGAACTGGACAGGCCAAGAGGTGCGAGGAAGAAGGAACGTGGGACTGAGAACCCGGGTGGAGGTAGAAGGATGGCGAGAGTTCAGGGCCCCGATGACGGGATTGCAGTGCCGAGTACCTCGTTTCATGATAGACCTGGTATTCGGCAGCTTCTCGAGGGCAAGAGACCTGGTGGACTCGACCCTGGTCTGGACCCACTACTTTCGGCCGCAAACGACGGGAATGTTTTACGATGTGTCAGTTAGGCACGGACCGTTTTGGGGAAACCAGGCCCGTGAACTACTCGAACTCATCAAAATCCTGATATTTGGCGTTTGAGGAGTATGAACCAATAATTATCAGGGAAATAGAAATAGGAGAAAATTATCTTGCGGGAGTGGCCAACCTGTTTGAGGAACCTGACGAACAGTACAGGCATGAGGGGCCGGCGTGAGAAAAGTACCGGGAAAAGGCAATGAGAGTAATTGAAAATAGGGATTAACCACCTATGGAAGGTTGTGGTTGGAGTCCTATCCTACCCAAAAGCGCGACAGGAAGGGACCCGGAGGGCCACCACCGCTAAGGATGCTAAGGGAATCCTGGAGCCGGGAAGGCAAAAGGGGCCATCCTCGAGGAGAGAGCCGCCAATCTCGGATACCGCCCCAAAGCGGAGGCACGACAGTGACAAAACGCCGAACCTCGGCAGCAAGCCTCCAGACAAAGGGAAGGAAGGTTGAGCCTTGCGGAGAAAGAAAACGTCAGATAAGCCGTCATAACAAATATGAGACGAGAAAACATGGAAATAGTAAAGATAAAGACCTTAGGCTTTGGGAACTAGGGAAGCAGTGAACGACCGGTTGTTTCGCAAAAAACAATTTCCATGTGCAGGGTTAGGAAAAAATGGCGTCGGAAGAAGAGGCTGGGAATTTGCGGAGCAAAGGGAGTCAGGGCACGGATAGGGGTGTGGAACGGAACGAAGGGTTCATAAGGGACCGAGAGTCAGCAAAACCAGAAGGGACCGAGGAAGACGGAAAGGACCTTTCGACAGGGGAAAGCTCGGGGAAAGTTGGGGGAAGCAAAAGAGGACCCCAGGAAAATAAGGAAGGAAGGGATAACGGCAGGTCGAGTCCTCGAAACTCGGAGGGGACCACGCCCAAGAAAACGAAAGTCTCGGACGCATGTCGTAAGCTGGCAGAAATAGAAAAGCGAACCGCAGCGTACAAGGCAAGGCTTATTGAAGAGATGGTGACTGGGAACGAAAGAGACCTTCCGGGAGAAGGGTCACGAGAGCAACGTAGGGCCATCCAGGGCGAAGTCAGGCACGGAGGGAAGGACAATAGCCATAGGGGAACACCCAGCAAGAAAGGGAAGGAAAAGGGGGACTCCCCGACCGTAGAGGCGGAAAAGGCTACGACCCCACCTGCTATAGACAGTGGTGCTAGCCGTTTGCCCGCCACGCCGAAAGTAACGAAGGGGTGCGCCGGACTTTGGAGCCTCAGAGAAAGGGTGTTAGGATGGTTTGATTCGGAGGGTACGCCAAAGGCCGGGGAAAAGCAGAGGGACAGTAAGGAAGGAGAAGGGACCAGTAAGGAAGGAGAAGGAGAAGTGTTCAAGCACTGGTATCAGGGGGCACGAAGGTTGCCCGGGTCGTCGGGGCCACAGGGCCACGAAAAAGATTAGCGGAAGGGCAGGCGGCAGAGGGGCGCAAGAAAATAGTAAAGGTGGCACTTCTCCACCGAGGAAGAGAAGGGCCGTCGAAAAAAATAGTATCGTAGGATGTGTACCACAGGGAGAAAAGAAATCAAGAAAATTGAGAAGATTAGCCGGGCCAAGAGGTCCGCCGGGATGCGGCACCGAGAGGGCCAAAGGGCCACGAGCGGGTGAGGAGCCACAACAAGAAGAGCGGTGCGCGGGACGTGAGAAGGACAAAGGGGAGGAGACCGCCATAAGGCGGAAAAATGACAAAGTGTCGGGGACCACCGGCGGGACAAAGTGTCGGGGACCACATGGGACTAAGTAAAAGATGCGGTATCGAGACAAGTATCGACGGAACCACCGGCAGAACAAGTGTCGACGGGACCTCCGGCGGGACAAGTACTGGCGGGACCGCTAGCGGGACTAGTGTCGGGGACTAGTATGGAACAAGTGGCGGGGACTTGTGACGTCCCAAGGAAAAATGGTGGCGCGACACGTGGTGCGAATAATTAAAGCAAGTTGCACCGTCAAGATCGGAGATCTGATCTTGACGGCCAAAAACATTTGCACCACAAGTGCAAGCAAGTGGGAGCAAGTGGGAGCAAGTAGGAAGGCCAAAAGAAAAATAAAAAGTAAAGAAAACAAGTGCTAGAGGCATGGGAGCAATCCAAAAAATTTCGGATTGGCCTCCCCCAAGAAAAAAGAGCCAAAAGAGACTCCATGTGAAAAATAGGCCTCCGGGAGAAAATCGGAGTATGAGGGCCCACCGTTTGGGAGAAGAGGAGGCAAACGGAGACTCTTGTGGGCATGAGAAGGCCACAAGTGCAGTCCGAGAAATAACGGACTGGCCCTTGGGCATAGGAAGGGCCAAAACTAAGAGGAAGGGCCTAGAAAAGGGCCTTAACGGCCACTTGACATAGGAAGGGCCAAAACTAAGAAGAAGGGCCTAGAAAAGGGCCTTAACAGCCACTTGACACTTGGCATGCAAATAAAAGAAAGAAAAGAAAAAGAAAATCTAGGGAAATAAAACAAAAAGAGTGAGAGAGAGGATGGGTGAGTTGGCCGTCAGTAGGGACTGGCAAGTCCCTGCTGTCCACAAGTGGGAGAGGGAAAAAAAAAAAAAAAAAAAAAAAAAAAAAAGTTAAAAAAAAAAAATAAAAAAAAAAAGAAAAGCAAAAAAGAAGAAAATGGGAGAGGGAAAAAAAAAAAGAAAACAACAGATAAAAGGGGCCCAGGAAAAAAAAAAAAAAAGAAAGAAACTGACGAGA